AGGCCCTGGCCATGGAGATCAGAGAATACTCACTGGCCCCTCCATGATCTCTGATCCATAAGGGTATATTAGTTAGGACTTTTCTCAGTTGCAGAGCCCTGGTGGTGCAATAGTTAAGAGCTCAGCTACTAACCAAAAAGGTCAGCAGTTCGAATCTACCAGCCGCTCCTTGGAAATCCTATGGAGCAGTTCTATTCTGTCCTATAGGGTCACTCACTACAGGTTGGAATCGACTCAAAGGCAACAAGTTTGGTTTTTGTTTTTTTTTTTGTTTGTTTTTTTTTCCTCAGTTGCAAGTGTTAGAAAACTCGATGCAGACTGGCTTAAGCTAAAAAGGAAATGCACTGAGTCTGGTAAATAGAAGCATATTTAACTTTTTTAATATTTCATGGGTTGCTCAGTCTAGAGCTCAAAGCATATGAAAAGGACCATTTATCACTCTCCTGTTCTGATTCTGCTTTTTTAGCATTAGCTGAATATTCAGCAAAACAGCCCATTGGGGAAGAAAATGACTGGCAGTGCCCTGGGCCTGCCTCTTTCAAAATCTACATCCAATAAGAAAGAGTGGAAGTCACTTCCCAAAGCTCAAGAAAAAGCCTAGGAATTGAGGTTCAGATTGGCCTAATCCAGATCATGTGCCCATCTCTGAGTTAATGACTGCAGCCAGGGGAATACAAGGAACTGGGCTCTTTAGTCTAACCAAGGCGATCCTTCCTCTGGGACCTGGAGGCCAAAAGTGGGAAAGGGGACCATTGGGTTATGGTCATCAGAACAAGGGTGAATGAGCAAATGGATGTTGGGCAGCAGAAACCAAAGACTCTTACTTGAAGGACTAGGAGTCATTTGCACACACTCAACAATTCCAGTAAAAACACACTAAAAAAAAAAAAGGGTAGACAGAAAATGTCACATGTCAAATGTTCCTCATTAGGTAAATGGGGTCACCATTCCCCTCACACAATGTCATGTTGGTCAATATACACAGCTGTCCTATAAACCAAGTCACATCAATACCATTAGTGGGTATGCCGATGTAGCTATAGTTTTTTTCAATGCATCACACAGGCCTCACAGTCAATCATTTCATAAAACAAGAAAATTAGCAATTTCCTTTTCCTATTTTCTTTAATATACCATATTTTTACACAAATAATGGGCATGTTCTACGTTTGTTTACCAATCAAACCTTCCCGCCACCCCCGTGAGGTATTTTCGTAAGCACGCTAATGCCAATTTTTTTACATGTCTCACTGATCCAATATTGGATCCTACAGTGCATTTTCCAAAGTGTTACCTCTTGAAATGCCCTACACGTTCTCAATTTTAATTATTTTATTATAAATCCTCCTAAAACTGCGTCGCACATTTTCCCATCATAATAAACAGGCTGTTAAACAAAAAAGTAGCCTGATATTGGTCTTCCCTGATGCCCTCAGGTGCTGTTAAGGTTCATAACACTTTTTACCATTATACCAAATTGTGCCAGACCACCTGGCTTCTCTTATTGGGTGCTGTAAGACTGTGTGCTAATGTGACCTAACCTAATCTGGAGTGTCAGAAAAGTCTTCTAGGTCCCAGACCCACCAGCGTAACGCTTATCTCTAATATCTATAATAGCTAATGTTAATATTTTGTGGATTTGCAAGTGTGAACCTGGTATGTTATATAATTAGATTAAGAGGCTTTCTAAACAGGAATGACAATTCTCTTTCATCCCAAATTTTCTTGTTGCACATAAATTACATGATTTTATCAATGCAGACATAACACAAGTACTGAAGGCTTGGTCTAAAAACAAAAAACTGTTTCTATCAAACAAGCCTTAGAACCTGGAACTGGTGCCAACAGGAAGTCCACTATAAAAACTGTGCATCCCCCAAGGAACGCATACTCTCCAAAGCCCACTTAAGATGAAGTAGTGTACAATAAGGGCCAGGGAAGAACCTCCCAGAAGGCATAGCTGGGTCTTGAAGAGCAATAGACAAAGGAGTTCCTCCCGGACAGTATGAACAGGGTTTAATGAAGGAATCTCCCCACTATGAGGGCAGAGGGACCTCTCAAAGCCTGTCCATCCTTCTATGGACCTGTGCGTGCTATGTATCTCCTATTCTTCCATCTTCTGAATGAGAATTTTTATGGCAGTGCTAATTCACTATTGTATGGGGTCAGGAAACCCTCAAACTCATTTTCAGTGGATCTGGGAGAAGGATATAATCTATATTGAAGCATATGTGTAAGGACCACCTAAAGAAGCTAAGATTGAGCACAAGCCTTATGGGAGTAAATAAAGAGGCACAGAGAATGATGAGAATACCCACCAATGACAGATCTCAGAAAGTGCCAGCAAAAAAACTCAATTATAAAGGTGAGGGCTCAGCTTGAAGTCCAAAGGGGATATCCTTGTTTGCACCAAGTGTGGAATATAGATAAGGTAAGGAGGATTAACAACAGAAGCCCCCCCTGAACTTGATGTGGTTCAGAAAAACAGAAGAGGCAGGACTATACACAGAATAACACAGATGGATCCTATTTGCAGTAAACACTCAATCTCTATAGCAACAGAGAAGAAGAGAGACTTAGGATGTACAACCTGGAAGGTTACCCTGGCCTCTCCCTGTTCTCCTCTCCCCTAACCCACAGAAACATTCAGCAGACAGATAAATTGACCCAGGAATAGCCAATTCATCCAAGGTCAAGAATTGAAAAGGAGGCTGGCCCGATATAAATATAAAGCTGCCATAAGAAAAATGTGAAAAGAGCAGCAGAATTTACCAATAGATGAAGGACACTCACCAGAAAAATGTTACCTCAATCAGATAAGAATTGTGATCAAACATGAAATAATCACCTCTAAGAATCTTCACAGAGAAATCATAAAGCAGAAATGCAAGAAATCGGGGAAGAAATGGGAAATAACAAGTGGAGAGTAAATGTGAGTGAATGAAATTAATGCTAAAAAAAAAAAAAATAGGGGGAGGGGAATTCCCAAATGATTACAAAACTGGAAGCAGCACAAGGTGACCCAATGTCATCTCACATCACCCTAAGAGCCTCCATCCTGGGCCAGACGCTTCATGAGAATAAGGGAGAATAAGCACTGTGAAAATACACAAAAAGGAATAGAGGATAAAATTAACAAAATGAGAAATAAATGTTAAGAGTTGAAAAGGAGTATAGAGAAAATGACAGACATGGAAGACAGGTGAAGAAGTTATGATATATGTCTAGTTGAAATCCCCAAAGAATGAAACCAAGACCATACAGCAGAGAAAACGTTTAAAGATAATTTTCCTAAAATGAAAGGGACAAAACTTAGTAGTGTTATCAGAGATGAAAGATAAATAAATAAATCTTTTGGGTAGCCAAGCAAAAAGATCATGTCACTTATAAAAGGGGAAAAAATCAGGCTGGCATCTTTCTCCAGATGCCTTTCTCCACAGCAACACCTAAACCAAAAAATCAAACTCGCCGTCAAGTAGATTCCAACTCATGGCAACCTCATGTGTTACAGAGGGTTCTCTTGGCTGCCATCTTTACAGAAGCAGATCTCCAGGCATTTCTTCCACGGTGCTGCTGAGTGGGTTCAAACCCCCAGCCTTTAGGTTAGTAGTTGAGCACAGACTGTTTGTGCCACCCAGGGACTCTACAGCAACATTTAAAAGATGCTTAATAAAGAAAATGTGAGTCAAAGGTCACCTTCCAGCCAAACTGTCCTTTAAGTATAAAGGCTACAATTTTGAACATTCAAGAAGCAAGGGAATATTGCTCCTAAGAGCCATTCTTAAGGCAACTACTTGAAGACACCTTTCAACCACAAGAGATGACAAGAGAAACCACGACAGAAGGACTAGAGAATAAACACTGAGAATATTTAACTGTAAAACTAAGACTAAAACAAATACGAGTATTAAGGTAAAAGAGCAGAATGTAAATCATATTCCTTGATGTTATAAAATGATGACTTAATAAAAATCAGTAGGGAAAGAGAGGAAGAAGTGGAGATGCTGACAAAGCTCACTGACTACATTATGTGAAATAGATGAGAGCCGAGAGTTATCATTTAAAACTGGCAAATCATATAATAGAAGAATAAGTATACTTAATAATTTAAAAGTAAACAATGAAGAGATGGTGTCAACTAAAATAGTGTGCTGGAGAAGGAGAGGGAGAAGAGATGGCATCACTTATAATAAGGAACTAATAGATACTGCTTAAAGATAGAGCAATACAGTTATTAGACACAAGTGTATTTATAAAAATAACCCCTAAAACAATAATCCAAACCTTCCCAAGTTTCAGAAGAAACACACAGACACACACACAATAGAAGACAAAAGTGAGTGCAGGAAAGAAGCAGTCACAGTTCACTGTATGATCGGTTGTGAAAAAGCATTTACTCAGTCAAAATAATGCCAATGTTCCATTTTGAGCTAATCAAACTATATCGGGAAGATGGGAGGATGGGAAGAGAGCACTTCCGCAGTGAAACAGGAAGTCAAGAAATAATACCTAAAACTGAAAATTCAAGAAGACATGGAGATGAATATCAAAATGATCAGTTAAAAGAGATGAAAGTGGTTCCCTCTGGGAAGGTAGAAAAAGGCGAGGGGGCAGAGACTGCTATTTTTCATTAAAAAAAAAAACTTTGTAGAACTTTTTAATTCTTACACATACAACTTTAATAAAAGGTATAATTTAAAAAAAGAAAGAAATTTGAGCTTAGCTGAGCCGTCTGAGTTCAAGTGACCAATTCATATTTTTCACTCTAACTTTTCCATTGGGTCCTTTCAAATGAATGCTTCCCAGCCTTTCATTCTGAAAGAGATGTTGCCCTCCGCCTGGCTTTTCATTGAAAGCCACCACAATGGCGTTAATTTGGCGGTGATTTATAAGCCTCCTTTGAACCTGAAACTGCCAGGTATTCTAGGACAAAACGTTGACTAAGCACCATTACTCAAGATGGCCTGCAGAGGAAAAGATATTCCCAGACAAATGGATACCTATAGTGGTGATGACTGTTCCAGCAAAGAAAAAGGCACTTCCAAGGTCCCAGTGGCTGCTGTTGTTGGAAGAGTTTCCTATTGGACTGACTCCTGCATTGTCAGCATCAAGGGCATGCTGCAAAAAGAGTGAGAAAGCATAAGGCTTGGTTAGCAAAAAAAATTTTTTGAAAGTTTCAATAAATCATTTCCCTGCTCAAAATCCTGCAATGATCTATAGAGTTCTGGTTAAGAGGAGGGTACAATCATAAAATGACTATTAAATTAGAAAATTAATTTTAAGTAAAAAAAAAAACACCTAGGATACATAGTGTTATTGTTGTCATTGTCATTGTTGTTGTGTGCTCTCAAGTCAATTCTGACTCATAGTGACCCTATAGGACAGAGTAGAACTGCCACCATAGGGTTTCCTAGGCTGTATGGTATTTTCACTGCGTTCTATGTTTGTTTGCCAGCCAAGCCCTTCCCCCCACCCCACCCCCAGGTATTTTAGTAAGACCGATATGCTAATTTTTTTTACCGGGTGCATTATTTGCATGAAAATACAGTAATCTTTACAGAAGCAGATCGCCAGGTCTTTTCTCCTGAGGAGCCACTGGGTAGATTCAAACCACCGATTTTTGGTTAGCAGCCGAGTGCTTAAACATTGTGCCACCAGGATTCCATAGGATACATAGTACAGTCTTATTTATGTAAAAATTGCAGGCACAGATGGCCCGAATACGCAAAATGCATACATATTGCTGTGCATATACATAGAAAGATGTCTAGAAGGACTTTCATACAAAGTGGTCATTCCTGGGAGGCAGGATTTCGGTTGCTTTTTCACTCTTTTCTGTTTTGTTAGAAGGTTTTGCACTGAGCTTACTTCAGTAGCATGGGAGTTAAGAGCTTGGGCTCCAGGATCAGATCTTCCTGGCTCTGCCCTTTATTAACTTCAAAACCTTGTGCAAGTTCTTTTAACTTCCCTAAGTCCAAGTTTCCTCATTTGCAACCTGAGGATAATAGTCTCTTCCCTCATAGAGTTGTTGGGAGGATTAAATGAGATGGTCCATGTTCACACACTTAGCTCAATGCCTGGCACCAAGTTAGAGTTTCACAAATAGTAGCCAATTTCATGATTGTCATTTGGCTTCCCCTCCCCACAACACACACATTCCTCTTTCTAAAAAGAAACTACGATGGTTACTCACCGACTACCGGATTTGAAGTTCTATACGCTGTGTAGTCATTGTTGTTAGCTGCCATTGAATCGGGGCCCGATTCGTGGTGACTCCATGTGTGACAGAGTAGAACTGCTCCATAGAGCCTTCTTGGCTGTACTGTTTATGGAAGCAGATTACAGGCCTTTCTTCCACAGAGCCTCTGGGTAGGTTTGAACCGCCAACCTTTAGGTTAGCAGATGATCACAAACCGCTTATGCCACCCAGGCTCCTCCATACACTGTAAAGTCCCAATAAATTGGTCATATTGATGACCCAATGTCATCTCACATCACCCTAAGAGCCTCCATCCTGGGCCAGACACTTCATGAGAAGTTCCTTCCTTCCTCCCGCTCAACACCTCCCTTGTACCTTTGCTTTTGCCGTCCCTCAAACTGTGTCCATCCTTCAGGGTCTAATTCAAGCTCTACTCCCTCTGTGAGACCCACTCCATGCACTACAGCACCCACAATCGCCCCTTCCCTGGGCTCTCTACTTCTGCACATGTATAATTAATTTGCTTTTGATCACAGATTTCCCTGCTGAAAATCCTTCCAGAGCCTCATCATACACAGGGTAACTTGAAAACTCCTGAGTGGGCCTTTGGGTGGACCCTTCCTGAGCTGGCCCCTGCCAACCATGTTCAAGCTAAGGGAGAAGGTGGAAAGTACTGTCAAATCAACTCGAACACAAGCTGTTCAAACACAGGTGAGAACGTAACTGGTGGAGGCTTCAGAGAGGAAGTGACAGATGACGGACATAGGAGCTACTCCTGGAAAAATAAATAGAGATGGTGTTCCCTGGGCATGTTGGAATAACCTGCATAGATACCAAAAAACCAAATTCGTTGCCGTGGAGTCCATTCCAACTCATAGCAACCCTGTAGGACAGAGCAGAACTGCCCATTAGGGCTTCCAAAGCTGTAAATCTTTACAGAAGCAGACTGCCCCATCTCTCTCTCTCTCTGGCTGGTGGATTGGAACTGCCAACCTTTTGGTTAGTGGCTGAGCTCTTTACCACTGGGCCACCAGGGCTCCTAATTGATAACAATGACTAATTCATCCAAGGCCTCATTGTGCTCTGCTTTACAGGGGGGACAGATTGTGAGTTCTCGCCACTAGTCAAACACCCACTTTTTCTGTGCTGTGTACGTGTCATCAGATGAAACCACAATGCCTTAAAAAACCAAAAACCAAATCATTTGCCATCAAGTTGATCCTAACTCATGATAAGTCATGTGTTTCAGAGTAAAACTGTTCGCTACAGGGTCTTCAGACGGAGATCACCAGTCCTTTCTTCTGAGGCACTTCTAGGTGGATTCAGACCACTAACATTTCAGTTAGTAACTCTTGCTCTCAGTGGATTAGTTCTCCACAAGACCTTAATCAGTGTTCCTATCCTCATCACCTGTTCGGCTCTAATGGGCCCACCTCAGGGACAGCTCTAGGCTTCAGTCACTAAGGTTGCCTCAAATCCCACCATCAATACCTAATATTGACAACATCTACAAAGCCACAATGACAGCTTTGGTTCAATCAGGTCTCACAGTGCTGGGAACTGCAGATAAACTTCATACGCAGACCCAGGGCAGTCTCTAAAGGTACAGATTTGCAGGACAGACAAACTGGGATGATTATTGGTTTTATCAAAAAACTCAAAGTAAGATTCCTTTCAAGTTTCATTTTTTTAAATTATTCAACTTATAAATACTTAACGTATACGTATGTAAGCCTCAGGAAAGTGCTTTTCGGTTGAAGAGCAAAAGAGACTAACATTTGTTGAGTGTCTCCGTTTAGCCAGAAGCTCTAGAAGGCCTATTCCATTTTATACTTTCCACCGTTTGCAAGGAAGGTGATATTATCCCCACTTTATAGATGAGGAAATAGGCTCAGGAAAATTAAGTAACTCACCCAAGTTCACACAGCCAGGAAACAGGAGAAGCCGGGATTCAAACCCTGTCAGTCTGACCCCAAGCCTCTGTCCTCTACATAAGGGACCCAGAACACATTCCTCCCCCACCAACACCAGACAGAGATCAGGAAATGGACTGCCTTTGTTCAAGAATTTAAGCAGATGGCACCTTCTAGTTGTTATCTGCCGTCAAGTCGATTTTCTACTCATAGCTACCCCATGTGACAGAATAGAACTGCCCCATAGGGTTTTCTTGTGTAATCCTTACAGAAAGAAGCAGATCGACAGGACTTTCTCCCAAGGCACCTGCTGGGTGAGTTCAAACCACCAACCTTTCAGTTAGCAGTCAAGCACTTAACCACTTAGAAGGGACCTTTCTAAGCGCTCCTTGAATATGCAAACAGAGGCACCTAATCTCGTTTGGCTGTTAGAGCTGGAGAGAGCTTAATTATTCCGCATATAAATTTTTAAAAAGGGGCGGGGGGGGGGGGAGGAGTTGTTTATATATCCTGAGAGGGAGGGAGCTGAGAAAAGAGAAAGAAATGCCAGAAAAAAGGTGGAAGAAAAGAAAGACAAAAGAGAAAGCAGTGTCAATCAGCATGGTGGAAGGTTCAAGGTCAGCAGCAACAATGCCCAGGAACTGCTAAAGGCAGCTCCATCTAGTATCCCCTTTTAACTTGCTTCATATCGGTGATGTAAATCCCCCTCTCTCCTCCCAATGAAATGGGCTACACACGCAAATGCCTTGGGGGAGCTGTTCTGTAGAAATTTAAGCTTCAGGACTATGACAGGCGCAGTGGTGCCACTGCTGAGCTGAACTAATTCACCGAGAGCAAGAGTTAGAACCAGGAGGAAGGAAGAGAAAAATAAGCCCTCCAACAAGTCACTAAACCCTTGGGAGGTCTTTGGACTCTTCCCAATTTCTGGAATGAGATTTGAACCTATCTAGACCTTATGGGTTGGAAAGACTCCAGCTAACACCCAGAGTTAAAATGAATCAGCAAACTCGGGTTATGTACATACAAGGAAAACTCAGTATTAATTGGCTGCTAGCACTTGAATTAACAGCATCAGTTTCAATCAATAACAATATTTCTAACTGAGTTCATGGTTCTAAATCCTGGTAATTTTCTAGAGTATTTTCTAGTGATCTTAATGGTTTGAACTCAAGTAAATCACATTAGGATTGAATTCGTTCGTTTTCCAGTTTTTTATCTGTATTCAGGATGTAAAAGTGAAGATAATCCAGCCCATTAGTAATGGCTAGGTGCTGAGATAATGAAGTATCGAAACAGAAACACATAAGCTTAGCTTCGAAGACCAATGCATAATACAAATAGGGTAGAGATTCAACCAATACCAGCATCGTTTTGGGCCACAACCTTAAACTCAATAAGCATCATTTATTCACTTACCAGTTCAACCCTTATCAAGTTCAGAGAGGTCTTATGAGGATGAAAAAAAAAAAATTATGCTATATGTGATGTGAGAGCATCAAGCTTCTGGAAAGGGTACTGTAGACAAGAAGCATTACTTTACACTTTAATTTCCCCCATCCCTGAATTTCCTTTTTAGCCTTTAAGTTGGATTTTCAGTCCCCACCCAGATACCCAGTAAAAGATTCACGAGTGAAGGTTTGAGTGAATAACTGAATGAATGAACACACTCAAGTAATAAATTGAGGCACATGATCTTGCCAGAGGTGTGAGACGAAAGAAATTTGTGTCTTTATAAAATCAGACAAACACAAGACAGTCACTCAACAACAACAACAACAAAATCTAATTATTAATTTATTTCAAAAAAAGAAAAGGGGAGAGCTGACTTGCAGAAGAAAATCTAAAAGAATCTATTTCTCTGTCTACAGCTCGCTCTCTCTCCTCCCTCTCTCCTTCTCTTTCCCTTTCTCTCTCTCTCTGTCTCTCCTTCTCTGTCTCTCATTCTTTCTCCTCTCTGCCCCCCTCCTCCTCCCTTTCTCTCTCTCCCTCCCTCCCTCTCTCTCTCT